TGACGATGGATGGCGAAGGGAGAACAATGCGTGCAAGCCACTCTTTCCACTGTGTAATACGATGATGTGTATGAGAACAAGCATATGTCCGATGGTTACCCACACACTGGGGCCAAAATGAGAGTATGTCTCGAGTCCTTGAAAGCTGAGCAACACCTCCCCACCCCTGCAATTTCATGTGATGAGTAAAAAACGACCAATAATCCGACGCACGAGTAATACCNGATGGCTACCCACACACTGGGGCCAAAATGAGAGTATATCTCGAGTCCTTGAAAGCTGAGCAACACCTCCCCACCCCTGCAATTTCATGTGATGAGTAAAAAACGACCAATAATCCGACGCACGAGTAATACCCGTGCATGGTGACAGTTTTATTGTGATCTTGTGGTGTTCTATATTTGATGCTGTTAGTCGTCATTTGATTTTTTTGTTGTAGTTATATTTAGTAGGTTTGTTTTGTTGTATTCATCGTTCTCTCGTTTGTGATTTCGATAGGAGTCATTCGTTTTTGTGTGGTTTCTGGTCATTTTTTAAATCTTATGTTTTGTTTATTTAATATGTTTTTGGGTATACGCAAAGATCACATCTTTTGAGGGGTCATTTGTTTTATCTATTGTTGCTTTGCGTAAAATGTAGTGGAAATGGGTTGCAATAGTGTATTTTTTTTTTTTTTTACTGTTTTTTTATTTTGATTTCCTTATTAGAGTGAAAGTAGGTACTATACTGTTTTTTTTTTTTTAGATGTTAAAGAAGTGGAAGGAGTCTTGTGGGGTCCCTGCGTCTGCGTATGATGTGGCCGCAGGTGGTCGTTCAGTGGAGGTGTTGCTATATCATGATGCAAAAGCCCCTCCTCTGCAGGGAAATGCAGTGCTGATCAGTTCACATATTGTTATTACGAATGGTCCATGGGGAAAGGTATTATTTTGGGTGGCATTTCATATTATTAAGGGCATCCATTGTACAGAGTGTTTGTTTCTCCCTGGTAAGTCGTTTGACATCCCTATAGAAGAGAGTGAATCTCCTCTCCTTGAGGATGAGATAATCCAAACATCATCCGTGGGACGGAAGGTTATTTCACTTGATATATTTGCCGATGGAGCGGTGTTAACATTGAAAGTGATGGGCTCAGAGGGTGAGAGATTTGCTCGAGCTGCGATGTTTCTTTGGCGTCTAAACCGCGGTGAGGTTGAACCAATATCTATACCATTGTATCATGCAGGAGATGCGATTTATGCTTTGAGTGGGGCTCCTGTACGACTAACGGCAACTTTGGTGCAGCGTCCGTCTGTTGGAGTAGTCAATCAATACGAAACGAAACGAACACCTGTTGATATTGTTATGGTAAATGAAAAGGAGATTTACATCGTGAAGAAGCCACAGAATACTGCTTTACTATTATGGCGTGATTTAAAAGATGAGAATTGTGGAAATGTGGAGGTGTTACCACTTAATACTCTTGCTTTGTTGATATTTCCTACTAATACTTCTTTGAAGATTGTAGGATCCCGAGGTGAAGTTTGGATCTTTGAGATTTCTGATCCTTCTACCGATTCTTCTGTTCGTTCTGCATTGCAGCGACTAACAGAGTTATTTCTTCTTGGGGTATTAAAAACAATACAACATCCACAGAAAAGTTTTGTTCCCACATTTGGGCTTCGATACTTTGATATGATCGTCCTGTACCAACAATACTGTGCAATGGATACAGATGGAGTTGGATATGTTCTCCGATCTACACTAGAGGCGGCGTTAGGTCCCGTGCTCTCAAGTGATGCACGTCTCGTGCAGGCAGTAACTTTCCATGAGGAACAGGAAGAGAAAGATCATCATGATAATAATAGTGATGATAATAATAGTGATGATAATCGTTATAGCAGGGTAAGTTTAACTTCATATATGGATCGTATGAGGATTCTCTTGCAAGGGACTCTTTTGGAGCGTGCCATGTTTGCTTTTCGAGCCTTTGGAGGTATAAAACACGGAGGAGATGTATTTTCTGTTAAAGGGGAAAACAGAAATGACAGTGTTCGGGTTTCAGATTTTAAATTAATTGCGCGAGATATTTTACTCGGGTTACGTTTTAAACCTTTAAAAGAAAATGAAACCATTGATGACTTACTAAATCATATATTGAGTGTGATAGAAAAAGATTGTCATGAGGAGTCTGGTGTCCCTACCATGTCCTTCGAGATATTCTTACAGGCATATAAGTTACTATTGGAACGAGTAGAAATAAAGAAAAAAGGTGATGAACACGCGAACGATACATTTCTCTGTGGAACTCCACCACCATTGTTGGGATTTGGGGCTGCACAGTGGGTATTGATCACTCATCTTCTCGCAGGTGTGGAAGCCTCTGTGTGTGCTACATTAGTGGATGGAAATGTTTCTGCAGATAAAAATACGTTTGATGTCACTAATGGAACCCCAACGATATCTAGTATGAATGATAGTTTCATATCTCAACAAGGAATGACTTCTGTCTCGTCTGGTTTCTTCCTTAAACGTATTCCCATGTTGCAGAATGATCATGTGAGTTTTACAGATTACGCCCCTCGTGCTTTCCAAACCATTCGTGAGAGATTTGGTGTGGATGTGCGTGAATTTCTAGATGCTCTTGGCATTAGTGCACTGCGGGCCCGACTCTTATTAGGACGTTTCTGTGCCCCAAGAGACTTTCGCAGTAGTGGCCGTAGTGGTGCCTTAATGCTCAGTAGTCATAATTATCGATTTGTGTTGAAGAGTGTATCGCCAGGGGAGTCCCGCACTCTTCGCCGTTTTCTTCCCGCGTACATCACACACTTGGAGCGGCATCCACACACACTCCTCCCACGATATGCGGGTTTGTATGCATTGTGGTATCGCGGCTCGAAGAGTGCGTTTGTGGTGATGGAGAATATATTCGCCCCGGCACAGTTCCCTATTGAGGTGGTGTATGATTTAAAAGGATCTACTTTACATCGCAGTACTTCAATTGAACATCGTAAACATGGAGCAGCCGCGAAAGATAAGGATTTTTTGGCAGATAATAGACGACTTTATTTATCAGCAAATGCACGAGATGCTCTCATGTTTCAACTAGAGTCCGACACGCAGTTCTTGGAAGAATCCAATACACTTGATTACAGTTTACTTGTGGGGATTTACATTATTGATAGTGAGACGGCATCTTCAAAGGAGTCGGCAGAACTTTTAAAGCAACAGGAGCGACGCATGTCAGAGTTAACTAAAGTGCCCAGTGATGAACGTAAAAAAATGTCCATGGATGAGGCTAAAAACTACGTGGATAGTGTATTTCATGGATTCTATGGTGGTGTTGGTTCTTCGGATGGATCACGTGTTTACTATTTCGGTATTGTGGATTGTCTGACAACGTATGGACTGAAGAAGGTTGGGGAACACTACGGTAAATCTATGCTTCTGCAGGATATGAAGGAAGTAAGCTGTGTGCCTCCACCAGACTACCGATCACGATTCTTAAACTTCGTACGGTCTATTATCGATGAGTGAGAGAAAGAGAATTCTCTTTCTCTCCATATTATAATTATGTCATTTTTTCTTTTCTTTTTTCTTTTTTTGTTTTACTGTCAATATTGTGTTTGAAAGTATATTTGTTTGAATCTTATTGGTGTATTAATGAAAGAGTGTTTTTTTTTTTTCTTCTTGTTTTCATATATACACACAAACACACATCCTATTTCTCTTTCTCTCTGGTGTACGTAGTGGTTTTAATACAATGTGTGAGTTCTTATATCAATATATCGTTTATATTTAAATTTGTTACTCATTTTTATTATTCTTATTCTTATTCCTCTCTTCTTTTATTTGCAGTGACGACGGGAAAGAGGGTGTGTGGGTGAGAGAGAGAGAGAGAGAAGTCAGAGAGCAAAAGAAAAGGAGTAAAAAAAAAAGAAAGAAAGAAAAAGAAATATATATATATATATGGGGGGAATGAATACACCTGTAGAGGACGAAACGGAGATAGATTCTATACTCTCACCCTTTTTGCGGGAAGACTTCTCCAATGATGATCTCACAGCGGCGGAAAGATCACTCCAATCTCTCTTGGATGCTTTGAAAAAACGAGAACAGCAAAAGTCTAATGCATCCATAGTGGAAAACACATGTCGTTCACTCTTGCATGCATATGTTTGTATCATTCGTACAGCTGCTGGGAAGTGCCTGGCGGAGGATAAATGTAATGAGTCCATGTGGAAGTGGTTATTGAAACTTACTGTCTGTATTAGTCGCACAATTGCAGAACTGTGCTCCTTACCAGTTTCTGCCGTTTATTACAATGATAAGGATAGTAATAATCCCGCTGTAGGTGTGGTTCTACAGGTACTATCGGATCTACTACGTCCACCGCCTAGGATGCGGTGTATGGATAGGGAAATGACATTTTTCTTCTGGCAGTGTTATCCATGGTGGTGTTCTCTTCTCTATCATTGCCTTATAGTTCCCTCACGAGGGGAAATGATTGCTAAAACTACAACCAACATAGTAGCTCGAGCTGTTATTTGGGTTTCACGATACTATACAGCTGAGAAAATACCACAAGAAGTAAGTCGTTGTGATACACCAGTGTCTAATAATAATAATAATATAGATCCATTGACGTTTCTCTCTTCGTTGTATCCCAATAAAGATGACCATAGGCGAATGACCCCACCCGTCTCTGCATGTATGGATTCAGATCTTCACTCTAGTGTAGATTGGGATGTATTTGGAGGGGAGTCCATGTATGCAATCCCACCTGGACAATCTATGGATGTGGATGGGGCAAAGAATATTCATTCTTTTTTTAGATCAGAAAAGGAACGACGAGTCGTCGTGCGGAAGAACAGTAATACAATGCATCTTGACATGTCCTCTGACTCCCTCTTGACATCCTCATTATCAATGATAAGAAGAAAGAAGAATATCTCTCTTGCTGCTGCTGCTGCTGCTGCTGCTGATGTGGAATCATCTCTTCCATCTCATCAAGCATTATATGTGGCGGCAAAACTTGGGACGCTCTTCACCACACAGGATCTTCACACACTACTTCCACTTCGTATGGAGATTCGAAATATGGTACAACAAGACGGGGAAAGTGATGGAGTTTCCCAAACAATAGTTGAGAAACAACATCATTGTGAAGTGTGTGATATAATCATAATAATAATAATGGCAGAACGCTTGGAACTCTCTGGTAGTGAATCCAAACGCTCGGCTGCTGCTTGTAGTCTTCTTATTTTACACAAGATACTTTCTCGTGCCACAGTCTGTATAGAAATGCCTTTGAAGAGAAGTTTAGGAGAAAAAACCGCCGCCGCCGCTTTGACTGCATTACTTCGCCATGATGCTGAGATGGCAGATGCTCTTCTCTCGTTAGTAATACTTTCCCATGAAGTTAGTGCATTTCGTTATTTTATTTCTCTTTGGCGTGCCGCTTTGGTTTCACATTCGATTGCATTTTCAGAGACAATGGCGTGGCTTTTTGCTGGTCTTGCACATATTATTGAGAAACACATAATGGAAAGCGATGAGTTCATAAAAGCCCTCATGAATGTTATTGGAGAGACTTTTAATGCTATGATTCAAGTAATGATGACCTTAGTCTCAGTTTCTTTAAGAAACAATGATACTTCAATGATCTCGGATGTGAATGACGTTAAAAAGAGGGATATGTGTACTCATTGCTTTATTGAAGTATGGGATTCGCTGTTACGTCTAACATGTCCATATACTGAACCAACCCTACAGAAGAATATTTCAATGTTAATAATAGATGTTGAATCTCTCTCTAATAATAATAATAATAATAATAATAATAATAATAATAATACCCCTATAGTGTGTGCATGGACGCAACTGCGTGAGTTTCTCGAGTCATACTATATCTCCGTAGTGAGAAGAGTACTGAAGAAAAAGGAAATGTCTTTGATGGAGCAGCGTCCACATCAATGCAATTGGTGGCCACAGGAAATAGTGGATGATCCACAAGAGTGCCAAAGAATTTTACAACACACACTTCTGATGAGTGAGTACGCATGCCGTAGTGATGTTGTAAACAATCTTTCTAACCATGTGATGAATTACTGTAGACATCCTGCAGCCTTCTTCTTGGAAGGTAATGAGGGACTTTGTATACAATTATTCTCTATACAACCCGATATTCCTCGTGATGTATACATTATGGAGTTGCAGAGTGTAGCAGCAGAGATGATTACAGTTGTGGCTCGTTCACTCTCTGAGAAACCCGGACGTTTTCTCTTTAGATCTCCTTTTGGATTATCCTCTGGATATTATGCCGTAACCTATACACGTCTTTTGTATTTGCGTTTTCTTCAAACCGTATTTCAAGCCTATTCCTCCAATCATCACTATATACGGGGACTATTGTCTGCCATTCGTTCTCTCACAGTTCTAGAGAAGACTGCCCATCGCACGGCTATAAGTCTATCGCTGCCAAACTTATTAAGCCGCATGTTACCAATGGGTTCTCCCATTGTATCTGCAAGTGATAGAATGACAGAGAAGGTAATAACGATGGAAACACAACGAATGTACCCAACATCAACATCTGCATCTATTACTTCTTTCCTTGTAGATGAGTTGGGGAGTAGTGGCAGTAGTAGTAGTGGTGGTAGTTGTCTCCCGCAGAATGTACAAGAAGATGAAGTTGAAGAAAGAGAAAAAGAAAAAGAAGAAGAAGAAACGCTCAATGGGGATGTAGAGATAACAAGTTCTCCTGTAAAACCTGTTATTCCTCCACTTGCTCTTAGTACTCTGGCACCACCGCAGTACTTCACCGATAAAGAGGCGACAACTTGTGTGAATGGCGATACGAAATCTTCCCCTGTACTTAACAAGCAATCAATACCAGTAGTACCACCATTAAACCTTATGAAACATAATAATAGTCATCATCATCATCATCATCAAGAGTTAGTAAAACAGATTCCTAGTCAAGAAATAATTTCAAGAGAACACAATCCACTGGCGACCTTGAAAGAACCTGCACAATTAGCAGAGTTACTACTTTCACTTTGTTGTTTGCTTCCAGGTCGTGAGGGTGGTTTGATAAGCCAATCGAGTCTCATTACTACCACTACTACCACTAAACATAAGGTGAATGGGAAATTAAAACGACCTCAAGGTGATACAGCTCGCTGGACTCCCCCTCTTGTACGTATTCTTTCAGCTATACAGGAATTCACACATCACTATTCCAATAAATCTTCACGACAACTCTTTGATGCCCTTGTTTCTAAGGAAATACAACCAAGCAATGCTCTCTGGATAGGTGTGGATGTGCTGCGTACATTTCTCTTACCACAATTGCAGCTCTTAGATGGACTAGAGATAACAGAACGGATCGGGGCAGGTGGATATGGTGTGGTATTCTCCGCCACTCACACCTGCTGCAATCACACTGAGTGTAAACATGGCACATTGGCAAGAAATACATCTTTAGTCGCTTTGAAGTTATTACCCGTAACCCGACGAAGTACAGATGACTCTAGTACACTGGTGAGTTGCCATACAGAGGCAACATCTCTAAGGCATCTTAAAGGACATTCCCGCATTTGTGAAATACTTTTTTCCGGATGCACGGATTCTCATTATGTGATTGCTATGCCACTATACAAGGGAGGTTCTCTCCGTTCCTGGCGTTTAACAAAGAGTGGCTTTCCTATTGTGAAGAGTCTTGATGATTTAAATTCTAGTAATATGGGAATAAAAGAAAAAGATTTAGACTCTACAAGAATTACATTGGATGACAATATTCTCTCTTTGTGTGGACCTCTTTTTGCACAGGTGTTGGAGGCCGTGGAGTTCATGCACTCCAAGTATATACGTCATAATGACCTCAAGGCAGATAACATCCTTATTGAGAATTATCGAATCGAAGATATACTTCTGACTCCAGATTCTAATACGGATAAAGAGAAGCAGGAGATGAGGAAGGAGATAATGATTCCCACTGCCATTCGACTGTGTGACTTTGGTGTATGTGAAGTTGTTGCTGAAGATATGGGATCTATGCATGGAGGTGATGTGGTGTGGGGTCCTGCAAAGGGAACAGAGGCCGTGCAGGCACCAGAGATGCTGGCGTTAACAAACACCGTAGCCAAGAGATGGAGAAAAGGTGATACAATGGAAGGTGGTGTTCATTCCTCATTATGTGTGGATTCAAGTGAAGAGGATCGTGATAGTGTTAGTAGAGGACTCTCAGCGGATATGTGGTCCTGTGGATGTTTGCTGTATGAACTTTTAACGGGAGAAATGCTCTTTGGTGGTGTGAACCTCGGTCGTCTCCTCTCACTCGCAGCCAATCTACAGACCGGCGAGGATGCCAATAGTGAGGTATTACAACCCCAACAGAGAGAAATTCTTGATGGAATGGGTGTAGGTGTAACCGACTTTGTTTTGCAGCTTCTTGCACTGAAACCTGCTGAGCGACCGACGGCTTCTGCAGCTCGACAGGCGTGGGAGGATATCATTATACAAGTGCGGAAGTAAACGTCTAAAAGCAGTGGAACACGAGACGAATGACCTTTGGTATTTCTTCATCTGTGGTCTTCGGTATCATTTCTTTTTTTTTTTAATTATTATTATTATTATTTCTTTTGCTTTGCTGTTGTTGTTGTTGTTGTTGTTTTTTTCTTTTTCTTTTCTTTTTTTTTTTGTTGTTCTTCTTGGTAACTCTTATGAATCTGGAAATTTTAATGATGCTCGACAATGATCTCTGTTAATTATTATTATTATTATTATTATTATTCTTATTACTCTTGTTCTTATTATTATTGTTACTACTATTGTTGTTATTATATGTTCCCCTTTATGTTTTTTTGCTTCTCGCTTGTATTTCTTTTGGGTTATATATCTGGAGCAACGTACGCACACACAAAAAAAGAAAAAACAACATAAAAGTAATATATATTTATATCTATATATAAAAGGCTTAATAGCAACTTACAAAGAAACGAAAAAAAAAAAAAAAAGAACGAAAAGAAGAAAAAAAAAAAAAAAACCAAAATAAAATAAAAGGGAGTAAACAACAACAACAACAACAACAAAAAGAAAAATAAAAGAAACATGACGAACCAAAAACCGTTGAATATTGTCTGTATCGGGGCTGGCTACGTTGGAGGACCAACGATGGCTGTGATTGCCAAACAGTGTCCACACATCACCGTTCACGTGATGGACGTCTCTGAGAGCCGAATTGCCGCGTGGAATTCCCCCGCCCCCGCCGCGGGGGAGAAGTCCCAACTCCCCATTTACGAACCCGGACTGGCCGATATAGTGTACGAGGTGCGGGGGAGGAATCTCTTCTTCACCACCGACCGCAACTGCATCAAGGCGGCGGATGTCATCTTCGTGGCCGTCAACACACCAACAAAGGAAAAGGGAATGGGTGAGGGATATGCGGCGGATCTCACGTACATTGAGAGCTGCGCGCGTCTCATTGGTGAAACCGTTGGCGATGGTCACTACGTTGTGGTGGAGAAGTCCACTGTTCCTGTGCGGTGCAGTGTGTCTATCCGCCGTATTCTCAGTGCCTACAGGAGGAGTGAACATGTTTCCTTCTCTGTCGTGAGCAATCCGGAGTTTCTCGCAGAGGGAACAGCTATTAATGATTTACTCCATCCAGATCGTGTTCTCATTGGTGGGGAGAGTGATGCCGCCATTGATACAGTTTCGTCTATTTATGAAAACTGGGTGGACAGGTCTCGTATTATTCGTACCAATCTCTGGTCCAGTGAGTTATCAAAACTTGTGGCGAATGCCTTCTTGGCTCAACGTATTTCTTCCATTAACTCTATTACTCCACTTTGTGAGCTTAGTGGTGCTGATATCACGGAAGTTCGTCGAGCTATAAGTGCTGATAAACGTATTGGTCAATATTTTCTTAATCCATCTGTTGGTTTTGGTGGTTCATGCTTTCAAAAGGATCTCCTCAACCTTGTTTATTTGTGCCAAACACTTTCCCTTAATGAGACGGCAGAATATTGGGCACAGGTGGTGAAAATGAATAACTATCAGAAGGAGCGTTTCTTCCAGAGAATTGTCAAGAACTGTTTTGATACTGTGAGAGCAAAGAAGATATCTATTATGGGATTTGCCTTCAAGAAGGATACAGGAGATACTCGTGAAAGTGCTGCCATTTACATTTGTGCACGACTTCTAGAGGAAGGAGCCAAACTTTCTATTTACGATCCTAAGGTAACACGAGAATATGTAATGATGGAACTTGAAAACTTCTTCAACAAGGAACATTTATTAAACAGTTGTGTATATGATAGATTCAAGCGGGAGTCTTTGTCTCATAACAAGATGGATATTTCAAAAATGCTGGAAAATGTTGAAATGGTGGAAACTGCCCTGGAGGCATCTAATCAATCAAGTGCGATGGTTATTTTAACGGAATGGGATGAGTTTGTCACTATGGACTACAGTAAACACCATGAAGTTATGATGAAACCGGCACTCCTCTTTGATGGTCGCCTTGTTGTGGATGCAAGGAAACTAAAGAAGATTGGGTTTGAGGTGTGCTCCATTGGTAAGCCCCCAATTGCGGCAACAGATAACTTCCTTTTTGGAAGTCCGTGAGTAAATAAATAAATAAAAACAATAAAAAAGCAAAAAATAAGAATGAAAATAAAAGGTGGTGTGTGTGGGGGAACCAGACAAAAAGAAAAAAAGTGATATAATACACTTAAAAAAAAAAAAAAAAGAATGCCCGGTAGATAAACCAGTATAAATCAATGAAAGTGCCTTGGAGGGAGGAATTAAGTAGAAAATAATCAAATAGGCTTTTTCTTATATATATTTATGTGGTTTGGGGCGCATAGTGTTACGAAATTTTTCTTATATGAACTCCTAAATGGGTGGATTATTATTATTATTATTATTATTATTATTATTATTATTATTATTATTATTATTATTATTATTATTATTATTATTATTATTATTATTATTATTATTATTATTATTATTATTATTATTATTATTATTATTATTATTATTATTATTATTATTATTATTATTATTACTATACTATTATTTCTGTATGTACTTATATATTTCCGGTACACTTGTGTCTGTTTTTAGTGAGTGATTTACCCGAAAATAAAAATAATAAAGAACTGATTTTAAAAAAGAAGATCGGAGAAGAAATACGTTCTGTAGGGGTTATTGTATTATTTTGCTTTTTTTTTTTCTTTTTCTCAATGTTTTTACGTGCTCAACGGTTCTTGGTTCCAAGTTGATTTTTTTTTCTTTTTTTTTCGTTGTCGTTGTCAATGTTATCTTCTTTTTTTTTAAGAGATTTTTGGAAAGAATTTATTCCCAGAAAACAGGGTCCATATTACTCTGAGGAGTCCCCTGGGTATGGAAAATTCTTTCTTACCTCTTGGTCTTTTTTTTTCCTCGTGAGAAGAGCTTTACCGTGTGAACACCTAAGAAGGATTTATGTGTTTTTTTTTTTTTTTTTTT